AAAAAAATTTGTAAGTTTTGTATTTTGTTAAAATGCTAAAAGGAAAACGTAAAAGCTATCCTGTAAATCTAAAACTCAATGCAATTGAATATGCAAAAAAAACAAATAATTATGCTGCAGCACGGTTCTTTAACGTCGATCATACTCAAATCAGCAGGTGGCGAGTGAAAGAAGAGGAGTTCAAGAACGCAAGGAAAACAAGTCGCAGAGTAGGATCCGGTGCTTCATCATTATATCCACTCACTGAAAATTCATTGAAAGAGTGGATAGTTAAACGACGTCAAAGAGGAATAGCAGTCACCCCTAAGAATGTTAAATTTTGCATGACTAACTTACTCTCTAATGAATTTAAGTTATCATACTCTAATGCTCTTAATACCTTTAAAGCATCAGACCCATGGCTTAATTTTTTTATGAATCGGTTTAACCTTTCCCTTCGCAGACGCACAAAAACCTCTCAAAAACTTCCTAAAGACTTATATGAAAAAGTTACTGAGTTTTATAGTTTTATTAATGAATTAAGAATAAATAATAATTTTGAACTTAACTGTATTGCTAACATGGATGAAACTCCCATTTACTTTGATATGGTTGGTGCTTATACAATTAATGATCGTGGCGCACGAACAGTACCTATACGTACAACAGAGAATAATAAAAACCGATTTACCTGTGTTTTAGGAGTTTTAGTGGATGGATCAAAGCTCCCTCTGATGGTTATTTTCAAAGGAAAAAGAGTGCCTAGAGGCCAATATCCCCCTGGAATAGTTATTAGAATGCAAGAGAATGGGTGGATGGATGAAGAGTTGATGAAAGAATGGTTAGAAGCAGTTTGGAAGCAAAGACCTGGTGGACAAAATAAAAGATCATTATTAGTATTTGATTCATTCGAAGGACATCTCACCACGACAGTTAAAGATAAATGCTATGATATGAATACCGTTTTAGGTGTTATTCCTGGTGGACTTACATCAGTTGTACAACCTTTGGACGTAAGTATCAACAAACCATTTAAGGATCAGCTTTGTGAAAAATAGAATATGTAGATGGATGTCGGGGAATATAAATTTACTAAGAAAGGAAATATGAAAAAACCAGAGCACGATATAATGTGTCACTGGGTTATGGAAGCATGGAATGAAATTTCAACAGAAATTATTATTAAGTCTTTTAAGAAATGTGGTCTTTCTAATATCTTAGATAATTCGAAAAACTATTTAATTGAATTGGATCAAATTGAAGAAGAAAAAGACTGCATTATTGATCTAGTAGATGAAAACAAAGAAAATGAAGAAAATATTGCAACATCTAGTGTATCTTACATAAATGCTGAAAGAAGTTATTTAATCAGAGAAAATGAAACTGAGATAATGAGTATTCTATTGTGCTAAAATATAAATATAAAAATAAGAACGATGTATTGTAATTAGAAAAAAAAAGACGTATTATAATTAGAAAGAAAGACTAAAAAAAAACAGATCTAACAGTTTATAAATTAGAAATTAAGCATAGAAATATAAATTTATTTTACCTCTTGCAGTCTTGCGAAAGTATAAATTGGTGTTAGTTTAGAA